TATATATATATATATATATATATATATATATATTTTTTTATTATTATTTTTTTTTTATTATTTTTTTCTGTGGACATTGCATATATTATGTTCTTATAGTGATTGATCAACCAGTGAATAAGGGACTCTAAATGCTTATTATATTGAGGAATGTTAGCAACTTTTTCGGTTCTTATTTTCATCCTATAACTTGATATTGTGATTCGAACCGTTTGTTTTGTAGGTTACTATGCACACATTATCTAAATTAACCAAATAAGAAAAAAAAAATTGTTTAAAAATCTAAGTATTGTCAAATATACAGATGAATTTAATTAAATACCAAAATGTTTATATTATCAAAGTATTTCTAATTGGGTTGATTTTTATGCGAATAATAATCCTTCAAAAGTGACCTAAAATATGAATGATACTAGTCATGATTACGGAACAAGAAAGAAAAGGGAGTCATCCATCCTTGTATAAGATCGATTTTCTTCCACTAACATCTAGAAACCTTAATCTTTTTTGTTCATGAAGGAATCTATATGCATGCATCTACTTTGAAATGTATTTCCTTTAATAATAAATGATCTTATATAATGTTTATCCGCCACCCAAAATTCACGTTAACATAGCAAAAAGATAAAAGGATCACGTTGAAATATAAATCCTTCTCGCTCTCCATCTCCATCACAAAAATAAATAAATAAACCCTTCTCGTCTTTTCACAAATCTACCACAAGATTATATAAAAATGATAGTGTATATATATATATATATATATATATATATATTAAAAAATAAGAAGAAGGAAAAACAAATAAAAAAGGAGAAAGTAAGTGTATGAAATATCGTGTGTTGTTGTGATGTTGGGGGAAGATGAATGAAAGCCACCGACCCCTCCATTATTGTTTAAGAAGAAAAATCAAAAGGTAAAATATGCCTAAAATCGTAATGCATTGCAGGCCAAGCCTCCATTCAATGACGTGTTCAAACTTCAAAGCATGTGAGGCTCCATCCACACACACACACACGCCTTTTTGACGAAACCCAATATATATCATTTCATTTTTGTACTATATGGTATATGCGCAGAGAGAGAGAGAGAGAGTTGAAAGAGAGAGAGAGTTGAATTAGGGTTTACTTCCATAATCAACATCATCGCATTGGCATGGCACTTCGAATTTGAACTTGGACTTTGGACTTGGACTTGAAGGAGGAGATAAAAAGAAGAAAGAAACAATTCAGATTATGGCATGCCAAATCAATATGCTGCCAAATGATATTTACTTTTCATCCAACCAAGCAAGCAAGAACCAACCACAGCTTTTAATTTGCCGTGCTTTTGGGTTCTGTCCACCTTCCAATTTATTATTTCTTACTATATTATAGGTGGAGGGAAGATAGATTCACATTAATAAAGGTGAATTCAATGGTCAATGTGTTTTAGTCTTAAGAGCCAGATTTTTATTTGTGGAGCACAATTTTAGTTTAAATAATACAACAAATTTTTTCTAAAACCCTTTTTTTTTTTTATCAACTGGGAAATTGCATTCATAAACTACGTCACGAGGGCAACACGGGCTACAAGTGCCACTACAACTATTTACAAAGGGGTTACAACTCATACCTTCATTCAAAGCCACACAGAACCAAAAACACTATGACATAAATGCATGTCTAAAAAAAACTAAGTATACACATTTTTAGTAAATCCTTTTTTTATTGCAAGTATAAGTCATTCACACACGTCTTTTATTGGTAGGTAAGAGTCACATGATTTTGTTTCGTTTTAATTTACTGCATTACATTGTAGTTGTCACTCCATTATAAATGTATTAAGTATATGGTCTAAATAACTTGAAGATTTGATTTTTATAAAGTACTTGTTCAATGCACACATTTTCAACTATATGGTTTGGTTTGATTTTGTTTTGTTTGATGATTGTATGGGTTTGTTCTTCAACCTTGAAATAAAATTTGGTTAATGGTCAATATAGAATTGCATTAGATTAGTCTTTAGAGGTGGCATGAGATGTCATCCCAACTTCTAAAAACCAAAATTATAATTTCATCACCTTTGAAATTTAATACTCTATTTAAAAAAAGTTATATTTTGAAATAGACTAAATATATAATGGTAATGGTTGAAGTGGATGTGGTTGGTCCGTTATGTCCAATTCCGTGAATGATGGGGTGGATTGCTGAGGAATGATGATGGCTCGTCTGTCCGCTCACCCGCCAAAATTACCCGCCAACAACAAAGCGGGTGCGTGGGGCCCCGGTGGTGGGACCCGTGCGATTCAGTCAGCCATGAGCTATGAGGCAGGGCAGGGCAGGGCAGGCAGCTAGCTATTAAAAACTCACCCCCCCTATTTCCCGCTTTTATATTTAATTTCCTCTGACTCATGGGCCTCCTCTTTTCTCCTTCTACCCACCACACCCACACTACGCCACCACGACTTGTAATGCGTACCCTCTCATGCCTCCCTCATAATAATTCACCTTTAAATCATTGAAAACACCCAAATTTATTTTTATTATTATTTAATTTTAACAAGTCGATACTCCAACAAATTACGTAATGGAGATCGAACGGACTCAAGGGCAAAGGGATAGGCACACTTTCTCGATCAACTGGCATAACTCATGTCTTCAAATGATAAACTACTCTAATGCTTCAAGAGGGAGATCAAACTCGAATGTAAGAGGACAATTATACTGTCTTGACCGACTGACAGAACCCACATATATAATTCAAAAAAATTCGTTGAACGTCAAAATGGAAATGCTTTCTGGTTATTACCAAACTACCCCTGACTTTGTTACCAACTAAGCGTTGCCCTTGACTCTCGAAAACGACCCTTTTTTGGCCTGTTAGTGTGCCGTCGTTATTTCCCATAAAACTTAAAATTGGGAATGGCTGTTTTAGTGGATTTTATTAGGGGGGGGGGGGGTGTTTTTTTAATTGTATTTAGGACTCGGACTCAACAGCCGAAGCTGAAGCTCCAACAGTAATATAAAAAAACGCAATTACTGTTGAGTAAATAAGGAACTGCCAATAAATGAGGTAATAATTGGTGGTGGTGGGAAAAGAAAAACAAGGGAGGGCGGTAAAGTGAGTAGTGGGCAGAGAACTGTTCAAGTGAACAACATTTTCTTTTTCTTTTTTGGTTTTTTGGTTTTTTGGTTTTTTAGGTTACACAAATGAACGATTACAATTGGAATAATAATATCAACTTTTTAAAAATAAAAATTTTAAAAAACCAACATTTTATTTTTAATTCTTATCCTCACATGAAGAATAGTTATTTTTCTACTCTAAACTTTGTGGGGTCCGCTCTTCCTTGTTATCTTTGGACGTTTCATTTTTGCTTTTCTATTTTATGTAAATATTGTTTATTTATTTATTTATGGAAAATAAAAGAAAATTTGGAAAATAAGCAGAGAACGGCAATCCGTTTGCGTAACCACAAGCACACGGGAGATATGTATGTAGGTATCAATGCGTTTGATTGGATGAATAATATTTTTTGGGCTTGGGCACTCCCTCCCACTCTCATCCACCCTCCTACCATTTCCTTCTTTTCCCATTATTATTCTCTCCATTTTCATCTCCATCTCCTTCTGAATCCCATTAACTCACTCTCTTTATTTCTTCCGTTACCATTTCCAGATCCCTCTCTCTCTCTCTCTCTCTCTCTTCTAAAGATCACTTCTTTTCATCCCCTTCTGGTTTTTGCATTTCACTGCTGCTGGGTTTGCTTAGTGGCGCTGAAAAATCATATCCCAGAAGATCCTAAACGATCGGTGCCCTTCTCTTTCCCAAAAAGCAGGTGCATTTCCTGAGGAGGTATGTATTCTTGTTGTTTTCTGGTTATTGGGAACTCTTTTTCAAAGCTTTTCTTTTGGTTTCTGGGTCTGATTGGAGTTGGCATGGGATTGCAGGATCTGGGTCAGCACTGGTTTTTTCTTCAGACTGAATCAAAGCGGTTTTGGATATTTAGGTAACTTGTTCTATCTGCGATGCTGCTGCACTTTTGGTGTTTTTGGTTATTGATTATTGTTGATTTGAAGTAATATTATGTAGGAAAGGAATCTTTTTTTCAGTATGAGATGAGATTGACATTGAATTCATAGCTTAAAAGATCGAAAGCTTGCATTTTTTCCTTGTTGAGATGGGTATCTTGTTGACTTACCTGATTTTTAGGATTCCCAAGCCTCTTAGCTTGGAAAGGATTTTCTATTTGAAAAAGAAAAAATGAAAACACCACTTGGCATATCAATCCCATATCTTTCCCATCTTATCCATTTTATGCAACTATTGATTTATCTATCGAGCTCCCATTTGTGTCTGCCCTTGCTTGATTCACCGTATGTGGTATGTAGTGTATCTATGATTGCAGTTCTTGTTGGTGGACGTCGTTGATTTCTAAGAAAAATATCACTTCTTTGGCTGTTTTTTGTTTTTTTCCCCTCCTGATCATGTCTAGAGTAATGTTCAGTTTTTCTTGTTTCCAACACCAGTGCAGGAGACGACGAGCTTGAATTCATTGTCTCCTTAAATATATTGGTCACGATGATGTTTGAAGTTACAGATTTTAAATTTACAGCTGATCTAAAATATTAAAACTTGCTTGGATTGTTAATTTGTAATACATTCAAACGATTTGTTTTGATCATCAAAGTTTTTGAATTTCTGGATGTAGCTGATGTAGAGTTTTATGTTGTGGATGATTATCCTCTCGCATGCATTTGCATACATACATGTGCATCCTCTCAAGTATTTATATAGAAAACAGAATGAAGCACCATAGTTCCTTTCCTTTTTAAACTGTACATCTGAACTCTTCATACCTAATTCGACACCAACAAACTCATTATAACTTGAGCCAACTCGGGGGCAACAACATTGTATTAGGACAAACTTATTAAATTTAGACGCTAACTTTATCATTATGTATTTTTGTCTGAATATGCTGAGGGTTATTTTCTATTGTTTACCTGCATCATATTGTTTATGTTAATTCAAGATCAACATTGCATTTGGTGGCTGTTGTTTATAATTAATGGACTACTCTCATTCCTTGAGTTGATCCTATCTTTTTTGTTTCCTAGATTCTCGCATTGAGAATATATATGGGTTTCCGACATGAACACAAAAGACCTATTGAAGTTATGCTTAAGTTGTAGACCTGCCTTAGAAGGAATGTATTCAATTGAATGAAGTAAAATTGTGGGTTGCCAGCTTTGTCTAAGTATTTTCTTGCTTCATATTTTTCTTGCATATTCTATTTTCACATTTATTGTTTTCATCTCCTATACCATATTTATGATAAAGCATTCTTGTACGTAAATATTTTTCAAGACAATATCCTAATTGAGAGACTGAGTTCCAAAGAGAAGTGTGCGGAGTAAGACATGAACTGACACTTCTCTTTGTAACTCAGTCTCTCAATGTACTTCATTTTAAAAAGGTAAGGGCGAGCCTTACATGTCTTTTAGATAATTAGTTCTTGAATTGGGTAAAATTTTCTTGGTTGAATTATTTGTTGTTGTGCATCGGCTGCTGCATAGGCCTCCTTTAAAAGCACTCAGTTTTTTTTCCACTGCCAGCCTGTTAATTTAAGATTTAATTGTCCTCTATCCAGGTGGATTCTTGCTGTTTATTTTACCAGCTTTTTGGCCAAGGAAAACAATTTGAGGTAGAATAGTTTGTCTTATAAGATGTTAGGAGGCAACAATGGTAACGCCATGCTTCCTGTTTTCCTGGATGAAAATCGCTTCCCATATCCGACAAATGCTTCAAGTCAGCTGCAGTTGTTTGGAAATGGTGAGTTATCTTTAGCCTTTGCCAGCCTTTGTGTCTACATTCTTCGTTCCAGTTAGAACTTACAGATAATTGAGATTCTCTGATTTTAATCATCTCTACACCTTCAGATGTAGACCATGTAACTCAATCTTTGTTCAGCATCAAAATTTCCCTTCTAAGAAAATTGAACGTTTAATTTATGTTGCAGTACCAGCTGGATGTAATGTTGATCCAGTAAATTATTTTGGAACTGAGCACATCACTCCCATGCTTCGGCCTAATAAACGAAGCAGGGAAATAGAAGATATCTCAAGACAGCAGAAGCTTCAGATTTCTTTGAACTATAATGTCTGTCAAGATGAAGCTGATCGCTCGGCTAGCATTCCAAACCCAAACCCTGTATCAACTGGGTTAAGGCTATCATATGATGATGATGAGCGCAACTCAACAGTTACTTCTGCAAGTGGAAGTATGACAGCAGCACCTTCAATGATCCTATCCTTAGGTGACAATATCAGAACTGAGCTGGATCGGCAGAAGGAAGAGTTTGATCAGTACATCAAAATTCAGGTATTTATGATCTTCAAGTACAAATTTACTCTATTTTCTTCCTTATGTGGCATTCAGTCATCCTACTTCATACAGATATTGAATTTCAAAGATTTCTGCTACTTATGATATAACAAATCATCCATTCACTAAACCTAGATAATCATTTGAACTAAGAAATGTTGAATCCCATCTGAATAAGGCTTAAAATTTCGAACAGGTCGTGGTGTGTAACCTTTTTTCCTCTTTTTTGTGTGTGGACATCATGCTATAACTTTCAAGGGTTTATTTGCTCAGGTAAATTTAATCTTGGATTCTTATTCAACAGGAGGAACACTTGGCAAAGGGGGTAAGGGACATGAAGCAGAGACATATGGCTTCTTTCCTTGCTGCTATAGAGAAAGGTGTCAGCAAAAAGATACGTGAGAAAGACTTGGAAATTGAGAACATGAACCGTAAGAACCGAGAACTGGTTGATAGAATTAAACAGGTAGCTGTGGAAGCGCAAAATTGGCACTACAGAGCAAAGTACAATGAGTCAGTTGTTAATGTCCTGAAGAGCAACCTCCAGCAAGCAATTTCACAGGGTGCTGACCAAGGGAAGGAGGGATTTGGTGACAGTGAAGTTGATGATGCGGCCTCATACATTGATCCAAATAACTACCTGAGCGTTCCAGTCGGGCCTGTGAAATCTGTATCCAAGAATTACCTAGGCTTGAAGGAGCAAATGGCTTCCAGAGCATGCAAGGCATGCAAAGCTAAGGAGGTCTCCATCTTGTTGATGCCTTGTAGGCACCTGTGTTTATGTAAGGACTGTGATGGTTTTGTGAGTGTGTGCCCTGTATGCGAGTCAATGAAAACTGCCAGTTTCCAAGTGTACTTGTCCTAACTTATGAAAGCTAGTAAACTTAAAAAAGGGAAAATCATGTGCACTGTTGATATATGATGTATGTGATTTTGTTTCATTGAGATCAAAATTTGTGTGTAGAGGATCTAGTTGTCTTCATAAAATGAGTATAGGCTTTTGTTTGAGTTTTTCTTTTTAGATAAAATCAATTCAACTTTTCTTCATAATGACAACTTTGTTACAGCTTGTGTTGGCCTCCTCCTTTTTTTATTTGCAGAAACTGGACTGACAAAACTTTTCAAGAAACATTAAGACTTTTTAGTGCTAGTGGTGCATCAAAATATCTAAACAAAACATGTTAAAGTTTCTTGCTGCATTTGCTACTATGTTAATATTGGCAATAAAAGATTAATATTACAAACTAGTTGCAAGAATCTCATTCATCTCTGTCACCATATCACCACCACCACCATGGTGTCTTTGATTGCTTTAATAATTAGTTGAAGCCACTCAGGGTTAGCACCAACCTAGCTTGCAGAGCCATTTCAATTGAAAGAATAATAATATTTATTTTTGGGCCAGGATAAAGATTAGGGGAAGGGAGAGTCAGAAAGATCATTGGTCGAGGCCTCCTACTATAATCAGCTGCAGCCTGCCTGCCTCCACATGGTCATTATTCCTCAAACAGAGGCAGCCATGGCATCATCCAGACTTACACACAAATCAATATTCTATGATCTGGTGCATCAAGTTTTAGGTGGAATCAAATTTTAAAAGTGCAGAAAATCTGTCACGTATCTAGGATATTTTATGTGCATGCATCCACAAGGTAGAATTCTATAGTGAGGAACTTATCTAAAGACCTTAGGTGAGGCCTATCTCTTAGCCGTTAGATCAAATTTGTTAGTTTAATTCAACGGTTAAGAGATAAGACCTCATCTAAAGACCTTAGATAATGCCCTAAGGTCCTGACTATAGAATGACTCGTTCACAACACAGGGTTTCAGGCTTTCTGCTTTCAGCTGATTTCCAACCAGCATTGGCCTTTCAAGCCACCCTGTTGTGGTCTAGAGCATATGGACCCATTAGCAGCATAGCCCGCAAAGAGTCTAGCAAAACAGCACCAAAAAACCCACCAAGAATTGCAAGTTGCAACCCAAATGTCAACAGAGTGCAGGATTGACTTTGTATTCACTTCATGAAAGCAAGCAAAGCATGAACAAAATGAGTATAAGAACGTAGATTTTCCATTCACACTCGCTTCCCCTCTCTCTCTCTCTCTCTCTCTCTCTCACACACACACACACACGCATTGATAAGGTCATGACTTGACAGCGTTGTTGGATGATGACTGACTCAAATTGGATTTATGGCTTCTCCTTGAATTGATAAAGCCTAAACGCTAATGAAATTATATATGTGATGCAGAAGCATAATAATGCAGCATGATGAGCAGCATTCAGCCACCAAGTCAATGTTCACCAGTGTCTGCCCATGAATAATAAAAACCCAATATTCAAATGTGCACACCACCAAGACAATGACTTTGTAAAATGAAAACAAAAAATACTGAAAAAGTCTCACGTTTTACGCAATTACAATTAGCTTTCATCTTCATCAATTATTTTTATTTTATTTCGAATTCTCTCCCAATTATCATACTGTTTATGTTCGGAATCAAGTTTTATTAAATACAATGCCAATATGGTGTTTCAAGTCTTGTGTTGGTGCTAATACGGTGTTTTATCCCAAATCCTAAATCCTAAATCCCAAAGAAATAGAGTGTAAGTGGATAAAAAGGGAGTGGGAAGATCAGTTCCCCTTAGAGCATGTCCAGCCTTGAGCCAAGATTGGGCAAAAGGCCCCCCAAGGCAGCCCAAGAGAGCTCCAGCGGGAGAGAAATGGCCAGGGCAAATGGTGGGTCCCATCAAACTGGGCAAGCCCACGGGCAGATCTTGCCTGGGCTGCAGCCTGAAGGCTCTGACGTCAGCGCTGATGTTACGCTAACGTTAGCGAGTAAAAAAAATTCAAAAAAATCCAAAAAATTTTCATTTTTTTTTTAAAATACCAAAAAATTATAGATATTTTCCCTATAAATACATAACAATTTTATTCACTTTCTAAATTGTTTATATTTTGTTGCATAATCTTTTTTTTTTCTTGCCCTTGCCCTAGCCTTCCAAGGGTGGAACCAACTAAGGCAAGGCTGACACTATTCATGTGAATAGTGGCAGCCCTTACCGGACATGCTCTTATTATATATAATTTTGGTATAATTTTTATAGATAAACACTACAATTGTGATTCACTACTAAAAAAACTAGTTGCTAAACTGAGTCAACTAGAGAGAGCAGCTGTGCAGTGTTGACCAAGGGCTCACCTTTGACTAGGGTTGGTAGGATTCATTAAATAATTGAATGTTTAGGCCACACAATACAATTTACCAGATTTTACTTTATTTTCTTGAGTTTTTAATGGAGCCGCACATTTAGTTACCTATTAATCTCTCCTCGGTATGAAAGTTATCCTACTTCAAATTGAGTCCAATCCAATTAACTTATTGATGCATTAACACATAATCTAACCATATTTAATCGCTTTTAATAAAAAGGTTTTATCATTTGACCCCAAAAAAATAAAAAAATAATTCTCAATCACTAAAAAAATCTATGTAGATGATGATGATGTTATAACAACAAAAAGTAGCAAATGAACAAATTACATAAGTCATATCGCCTAGCAGCACACTAGTTTTGAAAAACATGAATGCATCAAATAAAGGAACCCACCACACAAAGCAGCCAAGCATTTAATACAGAGGTATTCACCAAAATACCCACTCATTATATCTTTGTTAATTTAAAAAAATTTTTTTCTGTCGTAAGCGCTCGTTATATATCTTAATTAAAAAGAAAAACAACCATATGAAAAAACATAAGCAGAAAATTTGTCATGACCGCCACTTTGCAGCACTACGACGTTGACTATGTGGTGTCCAAATTAGAATACTAAAATATGTTACATGTGACCTGTAGAAAATAATTTTTGTGGATTATGGGGATGTAATGAGAAATTATTAACATTATTTTTTTAAAAGTAAGAACTTAGAAATAACAGAAGGTAAGCTATTAAAGTTATTTGTTTTTGGTATAGTCTAGTCACGAGCGAGTTTCTTTTGAGGGATCTCTTAAATAAGTTTATTTGAGGGATATCCTTATAAGGCACACTCCGCATTATATTTCACTAATCCAAACCGTCTATTGTATTTCAACTCCGCATTGTTCGACTAGTTGACTAATAAATTAATAGTATGATGAAAAAATCAGAGTTTATTACATGCTTGGTGTTTTTTGTAAAATTTATATTTCTTATACAAGAAAGTAGAAACAAAAAATTGTCGCACTCTATTTTTATATTAGACATATAATCTATAGAAAAACGATAAAAGTCCGAACCTTTGTGAAGTTCCCATTTGTGGACTAGAGCGAGTGGCATTTGACATTGATGCTTAAAAAGTATAAAAGATCAACGGTGATGCACACCACCAAAGTCATCAACTTATGGTAACTCGCGAAGCAGGGGATCAAAGTCCAGTAGAAAATTACAAAAACAGGTAGGGTGGGGTTGAATCCCTGGTCCAAATCGGTAGGTGCCGCATGTGTTTGTTAAGTGTGTGAGTGAGTGGTACATCTAAGAATAATACGTTGCCGCTAAAATTAAATTTAAGCCCACACGCCAACCTACCCTTTCAAATTAAACCCACACCAAAAATAAAGAAAAAAAAATTAGAAAAAGGCCAAAAAGATTTGCGTTTGTTTTTGGTAGCTATAAATAGACGAGTCCATTGGCAAAAGGATTTCAGTTGTGAGTTGCTCTGCATCTGCCTACCTAACTCTTGTTCGTAGAACCAACACGCACTCCTCTCTCCTTCTCTGTTTTTCAACGGTAAGTTTTTGCATTTCTCAGAAACCCAAAGCTTCCCTTCCAATTTGATCAAATAAAATTTGGATATTTGGCTTATGATTTGTGTGGGAAAAAAAAATCAGATATGGCACGCAAGAAGATCAGAGAGTACGACTCCAAGAGGTTGTTGAAGGAACACTTCAAGAGGCTCGGTGGCCGTGAATTGCCCCTTAAATCAGCCCAAGTGAGTCTTTTTTTCTTTGATTCAGATTCATGATTTACTCTCTGTTTCTCAGCTCTCTGCTTAGTGCTTGTCTGTTTGTTATGCATTTAGATCTTCAAGTTTCAAACTTTTGCGGCCCATTTTGAAAGATTTGAAAGATTTGAAAGATTCTTCGTTGTCATTTATATATAAGTAATTAAAACAAAAGAGATCATGTGGATAAAAGTGTTGTTTAAATGCCACTTATGGAGTATGTGGTTTGATTCATAGATCTAGTCCGAGCTCAATAGATTTATTCATTAAGAGGGTTTTGATTTTAAATCTTGTTTTGCCCCCTTTGAGTTTGAATAGCCTTAACTGGGTTGTTTAAGATTCAACCAATCTAATTGTATGATGCCAGTCGAAGTAAATTTGATCCTGCCAAACATTATGTTGTAAACTGTAATTCAATGATGGGTTTTTTGTTGGCTCGCTCCTCAGATTACTGAATCAACCGATCTCAATGAGCTAGTTGAGAAGGAATCTTGGCTTTCGTCTTCCAAACTGGTTGTGAAACCTGACATGTTGTTTGGAAAGCGTGGGAAGAGTGGTTTGGTTGCTTTGAACCTTGACTTCGCTCAAGTTGCCACCTTTGTGAAGGAGCGCCTTGGCAAAGAGGTATTTAATCTTCCCATTGTTTCATACACATAAGTTTCTTGTGTTTTGTAGTTCATACTGTCATTTCCTTTTAAGAATTGAGAATTTTGATTACATGTTTCATTTTTGGATTTACAGGTGGAGATGGGCGGTTGCAAGGGACCCATAACAACATTCATTGTTGAACCCTTCATTCCCCACAATGAGGAGTTTTACCTTAATATTGTCTCAGACCGACTTGGGAACAGCATAAGCTTCTCCGAGTGTGGAGGAATTGATATTGAGGAGAACTGGGATAAGGTACTTTAGGATGTCAATTTGTTTCCCAATAT